CCCCCCTCCTGATGTACCATATTTGTCTACCCTCAATAAGGCGGCCTCCTCCACCACAAATCGCCATAACTACTTCTCCAATAAACTCTATTAAACACCTTGAGATCTTTTACCCCTAGACAACCCCACTTCGTTGGGAACAGCCTCCCAATTAACTAAGTGAATCTTGCTAGCACCATCTGTCGCACCCATAAAAAGTTTCTTGAAGTCTTTCCAGTTTTTCAGTAACGTTCACTTGTGCTTGCAACAAAGACAAGTAGTAGGTAAGAATGCTCTATAAAGTGCTTACTATGAATACATAGACAAAAAATATATCGATTACACCCCCACTTAAAGAGTGATATTCACTCTTCTCACTCTCAAGGACGGCAACACAAGCTTACGAAAACCGTGCACCTGTGTACGCATTTTGGAGGCACCATCTCTTTTAAGAGGACTTACAAGGCCCTCAAAATCTTGATGCACATAATAGTCTACTCTTTAGGATCTGGTTAAGAATTACGAAATTATTAATATGGCAATATCACATTCCTTAAATATATTGGAAAGGTATAAAGTCTTAATTGTATAATTAGAAACAAGAATTACTTTATCTTACCTTTTTAGGATTACTTGTAAACACTATTTAAACCCCAACATGCTTGAGGGAATAATCAAGCAATTCATTCTCAAACATCACATCTTTTTTTTCTTTTTTTACATGGTATTGGTAGAGACTCAAATAGCTTCCGCTACCGAACAAAAAAAACATTTTGTTGAGAAAGAAAAAGATATTGAGGAATTTTCCAAAGATAAAATCAAATTATGGATAACGGCCTTTGTCACAACTAATAGGAATCTTGTGTTCCAATGGAAGTAGAAGTGATGTGGATTATTCAAGAATCGCAGGCAATGCCGATCAATGTGTGTCGTCCACCTGGCCAATGATTTCCCCTTTTTCTTCCTTCCAGTGTCTAGAACAACGCTCTACAACAATTGGTGCTCCACTTTCTATTCAAACATCGTTCATCTCTATGGTGAAAGTTATGGTTCCACTCTGTCTGGTGAACGGCAAAGCTACTTTCTACATGACCAACGTACCCCTCTAATCTTGAATTTCTACAAAAGCTAAGGGTGTGCGTCACACTGAAAACTCTTTCTCCCTAATCAAAAATTTCTTTTACTAGTAGAGACAAGAATTTAAGTCCCTACTCTGAAAATTCTTTTTCCTCTTTTTCTAGTACGTCCTCTAATTCTTTTCTGCTTTTCAAAAAAATACAAATTCATCTTCCTATTCCAAAAAATAAAATGGTAGTCCAGACCAATGGAACTGGAATCTTACCTTCACTCGATGCAAAAGGGATCGAACACCTCATTCTATTACCCTAACCGGTGCCACTATATCTTTGGTGACCGACAATGCTACTTTTTACATGACCAATGTACTCCTCTGATCTTGAATTTCTACAACTGCTAAGGGTATGAGTCCCAACATTGAAAACTCTTTCTCCCTACTCTAAAAATTCTTTTACTAGAGACAAGAATTTGAGTCCCTACTCTGAAAATTCTTTTTTCTCTTCTTCTAGTACGTCCTCTAATTCTTTTTTGCTTCAAAATAATTTTCAAATTCATCTTCCTATTCCAAAAAGGAAAATGGTAGTCTAGACCAATGGTACTGGAATCTTACCTTCACTAGATCTAAAAGGGATTGAACACCTCTTTTTATTACCCTGAATGGTGTTGATTATGAGGACTATTTTCAGTACCAGAATGCGGAGCAACATCTATCATCCTCATCTACAGTTGTAAGCTCAACCTGGTACACAAGTCACAAAGTCTACCTAGTGACATATTACCTAATCTGACGCCATCCCCTGCTTTGGTCGAGCACTAATCAGAAGAAGTTGTGTATATTTGAGCCAACCTAGGAGTATACAATATATAGGCAACACAAGGGAGGCTATGGACCCAAGCTGAGCAAACTTCTATCATGAACCTGAAGGCTGAAGCTTCAAAAAGAGCAGTTTGCCTCACTTAAGTTGTGTTTTACTGTAGACAAGGCATTAAGGTGTGTGCCTCATTGTCCATGATTTCTATCCAGTGTTCTCGAGAGCGAGAAGCGAAAAAAAGTGACAAGGGTCCCTTCTTCTTTAAGCGAGAAATGAAACAAAATTCTAAAAGAATATTGCACGAATAAATAAAAAAACTAAATAAAAAAGAACACAACAAAGATAATACTCCTTTGATCCCATTTTATGTGAGAGTGTTTGACTGAGCACAGAGTTTAAGAGGAAAAAAAGGCTTTGGAAAGTTGTGATCTAAAACAAGTCATATAATTTCTTGTGGTTAGAAATCATCTCACTAAAGCAAAATGATAATTTTAAAGTTAAAATGTTAAATTATTACTAAATATAGAAAGATGTCATATTTTTGGGACTGACTAAAAGAAAAAAGTGTCTCATAAATTGGGAAAGAGGGAGCACTTCTTAGCAAATCTTTCAATTTAAAAAGAAAAAATGTTGATAATAATCATCCACAAGACAAGATAAATTAACACCAAAATCAATCCTTCGGTGAATGGATCAAAGATGATTGAGTCCAGTACTTTGGACTACGAGTTGTATGACGGGCCGTGCCAAGATCTACGAGTTGTAGATCATTCCCGTAGAAAGAGTCCGGATGAATTTTGAAGTTGTTTTCTACGAGGGGGGTCTACGAGCCGTCGTTTGACCTACAAGCTGTAGACCAGGAACCGTAGATGGAACTACCGAATCCTAGTTTTTCTATATTTTTTTAAGTCTACTTTATTTAGGATTAGACATCTATAAATAGTCGTTTTTATTTATTTTTTAGAGTTAGACAGTTGAAAACTTAGTTTTTACTTTTGGGAATTAATATGTGAAACACTTTTCCATTTTAATTCTTGAAATCGTTGGGTTATATTGCAATCTTTTGTTCTTCAATTCAAGATTCAGGAATTCATTAATTATTCTTGTAAGTTCATGATTTATTTTAACTCAATTAATATGAATTGTGATCAAACAAGCATGAATAGCTAATTCCACAATTAGGGTTGTGGGAACCATGAGGAATTAACAACGTAGACCTATTAATTAGTAATTCTTGAATAGTGTTTATGCATATATTGTACTTCTCTTCGCTTTGATTGCTTTTTAACAGATGCATATGTTAGAACTCGTCTTATTCCTACTTACAGGACCAAAGAGGTAACGAATGGGAAAAGAGATTATACAATAGAAATTTGAGGGCATCAACCATCATCTAATAACTTGACCTATCCCCGAGGATAGTTAATCTGGGGTCAAAGGTAAGGGTTAGTGAAGAATACACCCGTAGACGGACCAAGTTGCATGGTCAAATTAACTTATTTGGGCAACCAGCCACTTAGAAGATATCTAACTTACCGACTTTGTATGCTAGACACCAGACAAGGTTACTACTATAGGGTTTAGTGCGTTATGAACTTGTGGGGAACATAAATACCCTAGTTTCATCTTCTATTGATTTTACAAAATAGACAAATCCTGCTTAGTGTGTTACGTGTTACTACAATCATTCCATAAAGCTTTTTGTTTCACAAAACCCCCCATTTTTATGGAAATAACTCGACTAAAAGTATTGCTGGACACCAAAGAGCAGAGTGGGGGAGAGGAGGCCATAACTGACCTGGACAATGGGATGAAAGATTAATCTTTGACTATCAGCATAAGGAATCAAATAGTTGTTTTTTGATACTGAGAACTTAAAACAACCTCTGGCAACAAGATCGAAAGAAGCTTAGAGACTCTTGTTTAAATCAATAAATGAGAAGATGGATTTGTTAAGAGGTGTGGAGGACGCCTTCATAGCATAAGATACATAGCCAAGGGAAGGATATAATCAAGAGTATCCCAAAACAACTATCTTAACATGACTCTGGTGGCATCGGCCTATTGAGAAAACTTCATCAATATTAAAAGAAATTATAATCGATTCTAGGTCAGCTTACGCAAACCTCAACTAATTCTACGACTTACCTACTACCTCCCACCAATGTACTGTCAACCAAGTCTTAGATAGATGGGAAGAAATGACCTAGAGGTTTTGCCTCCACTAGAAATTGAACACGAGACCTCATGACTCACAATTCACTTGATTGACCACTTGGCCACACCTTGGGTGCAAAAGTCAATCAATATAATTAGACGAACAACATGCCATTCATGGACACTCTAAACCCTTAAAGGGACAGGAAACACATATCATTCCACAGCAGCGTAACCTAATGATTACCGGTCATCTCAAGGTCAATCCATACAAGTGGCAATTTGCACTCTCCTGAAACTGGTTCTAGCTTCTGAACCCTTGTTTGATGCTCATCTACTTTCATCTCTCCTGGGCTGCCATCTGTCCCCTTCTCTTTACCTGTATAATTCGCAGATTATCATTACTTGCAAACAAAAGCAATATGCAAGGGTTACAAAAAGAAGGTAGTTGCATATCTATGTATAATCTACTTCTTTCTGACCTTCTCCTGTTACTCTATCAGTATCTCCATTAGTAATCTCAGCTTGGCTATCTGCAACATCCAAATTCAGCAAAGAAAAGGCATTTGAGAGTTGATTCATTTCTCTCCAAATCCTGCACAATTCACAAATACACCAATCCTTTTCATTCAGTAGGAATCAAAATATACAAAACAAAGAAATTAGTTTCTTTGGGTTGCGCGCTACAACATAACACAATCCACCCTCAATTCTCTATTTTTATCTGAATGAATTCAGAAGAGATCATCTATATTTGAAAAAAAAAAAAACTAATTCCAAACTCACCACTCTATTTTTCACTTCAAAAAATAAAAATGTTTTTTCAATATTATAAGTATTGTTTTTATTTTATTTATATTCTTATTTCATAAAATAAATACTTTTTTTTAATATAGTCACTCTGTATAATTCATATTCTTTTCCAAATCTTTCTATAATATAAAATTATTTCTTACATCAAATTTTTAAATAACATAAATTACAAGTAAATATTTATTTACTTACTTATATATATATAAGCATAATTTTTTTTTATAAATAACACGATTAGTAATTTTTACAATTCGTCAACTTACATTTAGCTACAAAAATTCATTGATACAAAATAAGAGATTTCATACATTGGCAAGGATGAAGAACAATTTATTCAAATCAAGGAAAAAATAAATCTGAAGTACATTTATACAAATCAAGCAAAACAATTATATAAAGTAATAGATGAGTTTTTTTATATATATAAAATAAAAATATTTGGGGAAGCAAGTTTTAAAACCTTAAAAAGAAACCAACGGTTATATATATATATATATATTACCTTAAAAGCATGAACTCCTAACTTGAATGTTAAATTACTATAATATCCCTAATTTAGGTTGTGACTTTTTCGATGCGTTGTGACTTTTTTGATAAGTTGTTACTTTCCAAAGAGTTGTGACTTTTCCAATAAGTTGTGACTTTTCAGATAAGACACAAAAAAACACTTGTTCATACTACCCTTTGTTGACTATAAATAGAGGGGTTGCCTCTCATTTTTTAACCACAACTTCTTTTTAATCTTCTACTCTTCTTCTTCTTGCATTTTAAAAACATTCGTGTGATTTATTGTCGTTGAGTGAGTTCAAAGTTAATCGGAATATGAGGTACCACTATTCTAATGAAGTAAATTGTTCTATCCTAAGAGGGTATATTCTTTAAACTCGAGTACTTGAGGAAAATAATTATGATGATATAATAATTATTTTTTTACTTAATATACACATTAGTATGTAATGTTCCAATATATGAGGTTAACATGATGTAGTCTAAATTCATTTGTTTTTGTTAACAATTTCTCTTGTGATGTAGATATATGCTTCTAAATATCCTTTTCAAAAATTATTAAACTTCTCAAAAGTTAGAAAATTGTCACGATTTGTTTTTTGATACTCAATACAAAAGAATGACATTATTTATCAGTGCTACTTATGTGATTTAATTTGTCATGAAGTTTGCTTCAAAATAGTTATTATTATATAAACATGGGATAAGGGTCTAAAAATACTCCAACTTTGACTGAAATTGTTGTTACGATACCAAACTTTACAAAGGACCTTTTACCCCCTGCACTATTTAATAGTGTATTTTAAAGGTATATATGTGCACATGTGGACACGTTACTATTTATAATAATGCAATATTTATGATGTCCACGTGGGGACATATATACCTTTAAAATAATACACTATTAAATTATGCATGGGGTAAAAAGTCATTTCCAAAGTTCGGTATCGTTACAACAATTTCAGTCAAAGTTCGGATATATTTCAGACCTTATTCCCTATAAACATGTCCCTTTTGTTTTATTGATTTACTATTTCTTAATATTTAAGTATTTTCGACGAAGAAAAGTTTATATGACTTGTAATAACGCCAGTTGTAAATTTTTATTGTAGTCTAAATTCATTTGTTTTTGTTAACAATTTCTCTTGTGATGTAGATATATGCTTCTGAATATGTTTTTCCAAAATTATTAAACTTCTCAAGAATTAGAGAATTGTCACGATTTGTTTTTTTGATGCCCAAGACAAAAGAATGACTTTATTTATCTGTGACTTTTCTGATAAGTTGTGACTTTTTACAAAGGGTTGTGATTTTTTGATGAGTAGTCACTTTTCCAAAGAGTTGTGATTTTTTCAAAGAGTTGTGACTTTTTCAATAAGTTGTGACTTTTCCAAAGGGTTGTGACTTTACAGATAAGACACAAAAAAATACTTGTTCATACTACCCTTTGTTGACTATAAATAGAGAGGTTGCCTCTCATTTTTCAACCACAACTTTGTTTTAATCTTCTACTCTTCTTCTTGCATTTTAAAAAAATTCGTGTGATTTATTGTCTTTGAGTGGGTTCAAAGTTTAGCGGAATATGAGGTATCACTATTCTGACGACATAAATTGTTCTATCCTAAGAGGGTATATTCTTTAAACTCGAGTACTTGAGGAAAATAATTATGATGATTTAATAATTATTTTTTTGCTTAGTATATACATTAGTATGTAATGTTCCAATATATGAGGTTAACATGACGTAGTCTAAATTCATTTGTTTTTGTTAACAATTTCTCGATGTAGATATGTGCTTCTGAATATCTTTTTAAAAAATTATCAAACTTCTCAAAAGTTAGAAAATTGTCACGATTTATTTTTTGATACTCAATACAAAAGAATGACATTATTTATTAGTGCTACTTATGGATTTAGATTGTCATGAAGTTTGCTTCAAAATAGTTATTATTATATAAACATTGCCCTTTTGCTTTATTGATTTACTATTTCTTAATATTTAAGTATTTTCGACAAAGAAAAGTTTATATGACTTGTAATAACGCCAGTTGAAATTTGTATTAGTTTAATTTTTATTATAGTCTAAATTCATTTGTTTTTGTTAACAATTTCTCTTGTGATGTAGATATATGCTTCTGAATATGTTTTTTCAAAATTATTAAACTTCTCAAGAATTAGAGAATTGTCACGATTGTTTTTTTGATGCCCAAGACAAAAGAATGACTTTATTTATCAATGCTACTTATATGATTTAGATTGTCCAGAAATTTATCAATGCAGGCCTTTGATGTTCATACTTTACTTGTTGGCAATTTTGATACTTAGCCACAAACTCCACTATATCCTTCTTCATGCTCGGCCACCAATAAATTTTCTTCAAATCTTGATACATCTTGGTCACACTCGGATGAATGAAATATCGCGAACCATGAGATTTCGTCAACAATTTCCAAATCAAGTCATCAACTCGAGGAACACAAATCCTTTCTTTAAAACTAAGCACACCTTCCGCATCAAGAGTGGTCTCTTGTTCCTTACCAATCACAGTCTTCTTCTTAAGTTCATTCAAATTTTCATCCTCAAACTACTTGGCCTTGATCTCTTCAATGTTCGTGGCCCTTACTTCAATGCTGGCTAACACCCCATCTTTGAGATGCCTAACTTTATGAACTTAGAATCCAAGGTCTGAATTTCCTTAGCCAAAGGTCGCTTGGATACACTCAAGCAAGCTAGACTACCCATATTCACCGCTTTTCAACTCAAAGCGTCTGCCACTACATTAGCCTTACCCGGATGGTATTGAATGGTCACATCATAATCCTTGAGTTACTCCATCCACCTTCGCTATCTCAAATTTAGATCCTTTTGAGTGAACATATGTTAAAAACTACGATGATTAGTAAACACATCACACTTAACACCATAAAGATAATGTCGCTAGATCTTAAAAGCAAACACTACCGTTGCCAATACCAAATCATGTGTTGGATAATTCCTCTCATGCACCTTCAATTGTCTCAAAGCATAAGCTATAACATTCTTTTCCTACATTAACACATCACCCAAACCCGAATGGGATGCATCACAATAAATAATAAAATATTTACCTTCCACCGGTAGTGCTAGAATAGGTGCGGTGGTCAAAAGAGTCTTGAGCTTTTGAAAGCTCTCTTCACATTTTCCACTCCATTTAAATGGTATCTCTTTTTTGGTCAAATTTGTCAATTGAGTGGAAATAGAAGCAAAGCTCTTCACAAATCGACGATAGTAGCTAGCGAGCCCCACAAAACTCCTAACTTCCATCACAGAGCTAGGCCGAACCCAATTCTTAACCGCCTCAATCTTTTGGGGATCTACCATTACCCTTTTTTTTTAAACTACATGCCCAAAAAATGCAACCGAAGTCAACCAAAATTCACACTTAGAAAATTTCACATACAACCTTTGTTTACCAAGAACACCCAGAACAATACGAAGATGGTTGGCATGCTCTTCCTCACTTTTTGAATAGACCAAAATGTCATCAATAAAGACTATAACAAACGAGTCAAGAAAGGGCTTGAACACCCCATTCATTAAACTCATAAAAGTTGCGGGTGCATTAGTCAACCCAGACGACATAACTAGAAACTCATAGTGCCCATAGCGGGTTCTAAACGCTATCTTAGGCACATCCTCGGGCCTAATCTTTAACTGATGGTAACCAGACCTTAGATCAATCTTAGAGAACACGGATGCACCTTGCAATTGGTCAAAAAGATCATCTATTTGAGGTAATGGGTACTTGATTCGAATGGTGACCCTATTCAATTGCATGTAATCTATACATATCCTCATACTACCATCTTTTTTCTTAACAAACAAAATTGGAGCACCCCATAGGGAAGCACTGGAACGAATGAATCATTTATCAAGAAGCTCTTGGATTTGAGCCTTAAGCTCTCTTAATTCTGTCGGGTCCATGCGATAGGGAGGGAAATGGGACGAGTACCGGGTTCTAAATCAATGCAGGAATCTATATCTTTATCCGGAGGCATACCAGGCAAATCATTAGGAAACACTTTTCTATGACACCACATGAATAGACTCAATAGATGGAGACTCAACCTCAACATCCCGAATATGAGCCAAATAAGCCAATCAACCCTGCCCTAACAGTTT